GTAAAATTTGACCATATCATATATGATGACTAGATTTTTAATTTCTCCAATGCATTCATTCAGTCTCGATAAAGACTATCTCTACACTTACTCACTTTATGTTTTGCCCACTTTATAGGCAAGGGGAAAATTTTGGTTATTTTCATCCATAACCATTAGGAACATGGTTCCTAGTAATTCTCTTTAAGGGGAGTGTCGTCTATTATGATCAACATGCACAATCAGTTTAAAAATGTTGGAATTAAAAATTGTTCGGGTATAAATCATAATAATTGATCAAAACGAAAATGCAAACTAATGTCCTATTCTAAATGAATTTTATCGTGCATCCAATGATGTTAAAAAGAACAAGCAATTGCAGTCATCTATCTTGTGTGCGTATTGTATTCTGATTCAGTTTTTCAAGATTGTAACAATAAACAGGGAGGTTGATTTTTTCTTTCATGTATTTGGGTTGATAACCTTATTTGCAACAACATAATTGTGTATTGATGATAGGGGTGACATTTGATGACATGACACAACAAAAATAAATGACACGAAACTGAAATTCGAATTCGTGTTCGTGTCAAGTGTAAAAAACTCAACGTCGTATTGTGGCGTGTTCGTATTCAAAATTTGACACGATTTATTTACCGTGTTATGTATGATTAAATATTAATTAATTAAATTAATTGTTATTTTATGTTATCTTTGTCGTGTCGTGTTTGTCATTTTTTAATTGGTTCGTTTTCGTGTTAGTTAAAAAAACACGACATCGTGTCGTGTAGTATTCGTGTTACATAAAACTTTGTCGTGTCGTGTCGTGTCAGACAAAAACACGACACGATTGACCAATTTGTCACCCTTAATTGATGATTGAAATAAATTTGTTAAAACCTTAAGTCACATGAAATGAAAAAAGTTATGAAGTTCAAAATTGGTGTCTAAAATGAACAACGTATGAGCTAAGGTAAGTCCAAAATGTGATTTCTATAAAAATAGTGCGACATATCAGATTTCATATTGTTTTATGTCATATTTCATCTAAATATCTTACACCCCAAAATGCAATTGTTTGAGAGTAGACATAATGTTTTAGAAATGATGGTCAGATTAGCAAATATTCAAATTTAGATTAGTTATCTATATTATCAAATATATTATTGATAATCATGTGGTTATATTTATGTTAAAAAAACAGTAGTTGGACACATAAGTGGTGTTTTCCGGTGAAAAGAAGTGAGCACTACACACATAATGACTTCCTTTTTGTACTTTGAGTTTTTTGTATGTACATGCAAATGTCGGGATCGTCTTTTTTTCCTCTATTTTACTTATTTAATTCACATATTTCACTTTTATAAACGATATTAGGTAATATTTATACAATATATGCTCTCGTTTTTATCCATATAATTATTAACGTATACAGAAATTTTACATTGTCGATCTAAAATACATATTCAATTCAGTTATATCTATTTCATATTATCCTTCATTATTAATTCAAGTGAACAAAGGGTAACGAACAATCTGCTCTACCAAATTTTTTAAAAAGAAATAGAGATTAACAACTAACATATCAACGACATAATATAAATTTGTAATTTTTTTGACAGCTCAAAAACTGTTATCGGTTAGATTAATAGCTATATTGATAATTAATTTCCTTATAGCTTCTCTATGGTAGTACTTTAAGTCATTTTTAATCTATAATATTAAATATTAAATTCAGAATAATCATAAACTTAATAACTTTATCATTTTTTATTTAAAAACTCAAATATTGTAATATATTGTTTTAATTTCATGTACTGTGATATTTTTTATTTAATATTAGTTAATTTCATAAAACAAAAGCTTTTAAAAGTGAACGATGATAGAAAATTATTTAAATTAATAACATTTTGTTTGATAAAGTTAATGGAAGTATGATGTGGCAAAGTAAAAACAAAAGTTATAGGTTAGATCCATGATTGGAGATGATCTATAAGAGTAACAAATTTTTTATTGTTTACCTATTTAGTCACTAATTTTTTTTCTAGTAGAAGTTTTACCATTGAATTTTTATTTTATTTAAAAACTATCATTATGATTAGATAATGTAGGTTTCGTTCTACTTATATAGTCACTAATTTTTTTTATTACACATTTAGTCACTAATCTTTTTATATATATTTACTATTTAGTCATTAATATTTTTTGTACATATTTTATAGTTCTATTTTGACCGTTCACATATATTGGATATAACAAACGATTTTTATAACAATTGTGCATTTAGTTTCATTTTGCATAATCAATAATGTGAACGTGATTTTGTATATTATCATGAACTTACCTCTTTATCAATGAAAGTTAGATCAATTCAAAAGGCAACATCGATATTAACCATATACACTCTTATGCTAATAGAATATTGTAACATCCTAAAAACAGTGATAAATTTTTTTCATCTTATAAATCATTAATACCATACATCAGATGTCTCAAAATCAACTACGATACAGTATATCAAAAATCATCAGAGTAAATATAGTCATAAATGCGGAATCACGAGTGGGATGTTGTGCGATCACGTCGGGTCCTTCTCTTTCGTACCGGAAGTACCTAAAACCATAAACATAAAACTATAAACACAAAGTTTAGTGAGTTTTCCCAAAGTACCACATACCATACATATAGTTGGCCCCAGCCCTGAGGTATATTCCAACCCAACACATAATCATAGGCCCAACCTTGGGGTATGTTTCAACCCGAACATGTAATAATGGGTCCAGCCCTAGGGTTTATTTTAACCTAATCATACAAACATGCAAGAGTCACAAAGACACTAGCATCCTACATACACAATCCAATGGGTCGGCATTGATGTATTCGACCTACAAACACAGTGAGAAGACTCATCTCTCAGTCGATACACAAATGTTACTGCTCTCACTGCCAGAAAAACCGATGTTACGCATCACATATACAGTTATACCGGATAAACCCTTAGCTCTTCTTCCAAAACTAGGTGTTTGACCAAAAGTCAACACAAGTCAATAGTCAAAGTCAACGGTCAACGTTGACTTTAGTCAATTGCCACGTCGTGGCCATTCATGGTCACGTCGTGGCCCTCATACATCGAAACAGTCAGTTTTTTCCCATTCGTCGCGTCGTGGCGACCTAAGGCCACATCGTGGGCGCTGGGTTTCCAACAGCTTAATGGGTTAAGTTATTTTCTTCAATCCCAAGAGCTCCAAAGCTCAGATCTGGTCTGAAACATGGTCTAGAAGGATAAAATTTCCAACTTTACCCATTAAGACCACCCAAAAGGTCAAGATCTCAAACCTTAGGTTCCAAAAAGGCTAAACAAGACATGGATTCATCCATTAAGCACTTATTCCAAAAAGTCCTTAAGCCAATAACTCCAGAAGAGTTTCTAACACCAAAACTAACATAAAAGTTGATGCTTTATAGCTATGCATGTCTGATGCATGTCTTGAAGCAATAATGAGTCAAAATAAGGGTTTTTGACAAAAATCTCATGCATGGCTCAAAAACTCAACTATACTTCAGATCCAAACCAACAATCATACCAAAAGTTCCATAGAATCATAAAGTTGCAAACTTTATGAGATCTTACCACTCCAACTAACAAGAACATAAAGATTAAGGGGCAAAATTCAAGATCTAGCAACCTATCATGATAAAAATCGAGTCTTTGACACTTACAAAGGTCCAGAAGAGTGTTAGGACGAAGGATGGAGACTTGTTTGCTGAATCTTAGCTCAGTTCTTCCTCTTTCTTCCTTCAAGAACTTCAAAGAACACCAAAAAGGGCTTCAATAATGGAGGAAGGAGATCACGGTTTCTTCAGATCTTTAGGAGGATGATGGAGGGTGAGGGTGAGCAAACCCTAGCCTCATCATTCCTTTAAATAGGGAGCAAACCCGAAAAATAGGGTTTTCCATCAACCAGCTGCCACGCCGTGGCCATATACTGCCACTTCGTGGCGGCTTAAATGAAACATGCGTTTCAAGCTTGCCTTGCCACGTCGTGATGGTGCCTCCACCACGTCGTGGCAACCCTAAAATGCCACAAAAAAATAAAAAATAATAAAATAATAATAATAATAACATAAAATACCTCAAGATCCGGGAGTTACAAATACATGGCTAGATACCCTAACTCATACACAAAAACATCTAGTTACTACGTTTCATCTAAAACCGACAAAATGGCTATGTGATTCTCACACATTTTAACTCTTCCTTTGCTTAAAAGAAGCAAAAGATCATGTTTTCAGTTACAAACCCCATCGTTGAATCAGGATTTTGTCATACAAAAAAGTTACATATACAACAATAAAAGGTAAATTGTATCCATAACAATCTTGTCCTATATAGGAGGTAAACCACAAAACACCAACAACCAAGGAAGTGTCCTGATACTTCACTTTTAGAACTCCACTTCACAGACTTCAACATATATAGACAATTATTGGACCGTGTCACACTGGTGTGGGATACACTAACACTCCTCTCATAGTCGGAGGCTCGATGATGACAAATAGGGATGTGTTGAACCAAGGGTGTGGGACGCCGACTTTAATATCATGCTAAATTTATGTGAAGCTTAAAATTGTCTCTCCAAAAGAGCCCTTGTGGAAAGAAATGAGCCTCCAACATATATAGACACTTATTGGACCGTATCGCACCGATATGGGATACACTAACAGTCCTCACGGTGGCAAGTCTCATTCAACAATATTCACATTGATCCGTGAATAAGAATAACCTATTATATGTTACCTCGCTTCTAGAACTCCACTCCATGGTTTTAGGGTTATTTTATATAATGTGGATGAGTAGCAAATTCACACTACGTACAAAAGATCCAGAACTACTATGTGTCCTTCCTTATTTCACTTTGTTGATGAGACCAAAATTAGAAATTGTCCTATAACATCATACTCAAACCTAATGTAATATTTGTCAAATGCAATACAAAACTCTCATATAATGCCATATATAACTAACAAAACAAAGCATGCCTGATGACCAAACTCATTTCTATATCTTCCTTGTCATCGGTTGATGTGTCTAGCAACCTAAACACTACAAATTTAAACAACGAATTCATTTTAAGGGCACACACAAAAATATCACATGATTATTGAAAACTAAAGTAAATGAATTTCAGCATATTTAAATTTTTTAACAAAACCAAATTCGAAAAAGAAAAAAAAACAAATAATAATAATAGTAATAACGATGACGACGACAACGATAATGTTTTACTAAGAATTAATGTTGTGGTTAACAAACATAAGACATGTGTTTTTGTTTTGATACTAATTATCTTTGACTCATCTCTTATCAATTATCGTTTACTTTCTTGATGTTTAGAAAATGTCAACTTGATTTTACCGTTAGAATTATTTTATTTAGTTTACCGCCATCAATATGGTAGGATGGTGATCACTTATCTTTTAAAAGCTCCAAACATTGTAGATGAGACCAAAATTAAAAATCATCACGTTAACATCAGTCTAGATCCTAAAGTAATATGGGCCAAACTCTCACATAATGCAATACATAACTAACAAAACAACGATGCCTAAATAACCAAACTAAACCTATCTTCATACCTTCCTTGTCATTTGGTTGATGATGTGTCTAGCAACCTAAACACCACAAATCTAAGCAACACTTTTGTGTTGAAAACTAAAGTAAATGACCCAACTTTTTCAGATCTAATTATTGTCTCTCTGTGTGCAAAATAAATACATAGGGAGCGAGATATTAATCTATAGATAACGACAATCTTATGATCCTAAAATAGACAACTATCAACATATATTTTTAATTAATGATGATAACTTGATGGAATATATCAATTTATTGTGATAATAATAGACTACCAAAATCTTTGTATAAATGGAGTTTATATTACACGGTTCATGACAAGAGGAAAAATTATACATGAATCGAGGGAGCTTCACCTTTGATGGAAGAAAAAATGACATAAAATGTTTGCGAAAACCTATTTGCAAAACTAGAAAACAATCGAATTTCATGAAAAAAAAAATTAAAAGAAAAAAAAAATCAAGACCTCTTGACAACAGCAGTTGCAAAGTGTGGATGATGATTGAATTCAAAAGAAACCTTAAGTGATGGATCAAGAGACCCTAATCGACTTACAAGATTAAGAGCGATACCATTGTGTTCTGCAACTTGCTCTATGTGTCTTAGTTCTGTCAACTTGTTTTTGTCATTGACGAAACTACCCCTCAGTTCCTTTGCAATCCTCTGGGCTTCTTTGAAGTAATTGCACATGATGAGGGTCTGTCAAGGAAGAAAGAAGCATTTAATGATAAAATTAAACAATTGTTATATATTAAAAAAAAAACACTTGTACTAAGTGGGACCCACATCCAATTGTGAATGGGCAGTGTAGTCTCTAAACGTGTAGTATGAGACGTGATCAGGAATGCAAGCTTTTTGTAACAGCTCAAAATGCTGAATAAATCTCTGTAAATAAAATATAAAAAAAAAGTGTATTTAGTCATTCCATCATTAAAAATAAAATTGAAATTATTTAAAAAACTTGAGTTACCTCTTGCTCGCTATTGAATGGTCCCCGACACTGAAAAACTCCATGTTCATTTCTCAAAGCAGAAATCATCTACAAAAAAAAATGTGGATAATTTGCTAATAAAAATGTATAAAAGCCAAGCAAAATGTGTTACCAATGTGAGGCCTTCAGCAAGATATATTTGGCACTGAAGCAACAAAACCGCAGGTGGGATTGCAGGTTCCCTTGCCACATCCTTCATAGACTCCCTTTTCTTCTTTCCTTTTCGCTTAGCTGGCATATCAATTCAGTTCTTAATAAGTTTCCAAAGATAAAAAGAGAAATAAAAATTTTAAAAAAATGTTCTTTAACCAAAATAATAGAAGAATATATATATATATATCTAAATAATACTCACCGGTTTCACTGTTTGTGATCATTCTGAGATGCATTTTTTCACCAAGTTTGATCAAGATAACATATATATACCAATAAACCATGCAGTATTCACTAGGGGCATAAAGCTCCAATTCAAAACCCAATATGAGGAAACGAAAAGCTATCCAATAAGTTTGTTCCTCAACCCAATTAAGGATGTTTTTGTAAATCTTCATGCATAAATTCTACAAAACACATATTATAAAAAAAAAAAAAAAATAGTTATTAAAATAAAGTGAAATTGAATTGGTTGTATAAATAAGCAGAATGACAAAACTAATAACACATACTTCATCAAGTGAAGTGCTTGAGCTTTCTTCAAACTCCTTTCTAAGAGCAATCTCTAGCTATTGGAGAAAATAAAATCATAAGCCATAATCATGATTATTGTAATAAAGGTTATTAACGATGAAGAGGGATATTACAGAGGGAAGAAAAGTAATAAATTAATGAGTATGTTACAACTTTGGTCCCTGAGTTTAGCACTTTTTTCGGTTTTGGTTTGCAATGTTGGTCATTATTTTGTTGTTTCATAACAATTGGGTCCCTGAATCATTAAATCTAACTACGCCAGCTGGTGATTTATTTAAAATTGACCAGTTTGACCTGAGACCAAAACTGAAAAAATATATATACATACAACAGGGACCATATTTGTAACTTTCTCTTAATTTTATTTTTTTAACTATTTGCTAACTCGTGACACATTTTATTTTTAATAATCTTAAAAAGTAAAAGTTTTTAAATTATTAAACTTTTAAAATGATCATTCTGTCCTTGGCCCACTCACATGTTATGTTCATATTTTTTCCTTGACTTTTGTAAATATCAATCTCTTAAATATATGACAATAATTTAAACTTCAACACAAGTTCATATATATTAAACTGTTTTTGTAAATTATTTATGAAAATGGGTTTGGCTTGAAGTTTAAGAATTTGTAATGTTGCAATTATTTCATATACTGGTCACATACCAACCCATTTTTATGAAAAGTAAGAATAACAAATTTTTGCAAATTAATTATAAAACGTTAAATCAATACTCAGATCTGTAATTAATTATTTAATATACAACAAAAAAGGTGGATGTAACATTATATTTGTCACTTAATTAAATACTAACATCATATTGTAAATGATAATTATTAATTACACTTACACACCTGCATGTGTATGATACGCCAATCTTGTAAAACTTTCCCAAGTTGACGTCTTTGCCATGCAGCATTTGTACACAAAATTTTAAGCAAAGTTATCGCCAACTTTTTCAAGAAAAAGCAATAATCATATGTTAGGATGATTAAATAAACACGTATAAACCATAGGAATAAATTTTCAATATGTTAATAGTAAAAAGTTTAATCCATATGAAAATATTCACCTGACAAAGATGTACAAAAGACTCGTTTTTCTGTATATCATTATTTTTTGCAAGTTCTGGTACTGCAGCAGCTTTACAAATCATAGTGAAGATAGGATCACGCCCAAAGAGTTTCCCATCTTGAACTAGTAGAAGCTGTTCATTAGTTTTAGGATGAGAATTAAAAAAGTAAAAAATAAAGATAACTTGATCATTATCGTATTTGAGGACAAAATGTCATATATAGAGTTTTTTACTTTGATATGAATGCCATTAAGGGGACATTTGTTTAGCAGAATGTTTTTGGAAGGAATTGGAATATGAGGAGATTGTAATCTATTACGCCCTTGGTAAGGGTATTTTGGTCTTTTAACAAAAAAGGAAGATTGGAAATGAATTCCTTCCATCCACTGCTAGGAATCGTGAAATCCATGTAATATGGAATTTGAAGGGATGTGAAAGAATTCAATTCCATCCATTTCACAACCAAAAAAACCATAGAACTGGCAAAATATACAACTTTATAAAATCTTTAAATATCATACCTACCTGTAAATGAGATCTAGCAACTAAATCAGGTTGCAACTTCTGAAACTCTACAACAAATCGCAAAGCACCTTCATGCAACGGGTCTATGGGATGTGAACAGACAATATCTAAATCATGAAGGAGCTTTTGAAAATATTCAACAGCCTGTAAAAAGTTAATAAAATATTTAGAACTTTAAAAAATGAAAATTAGAAAAATAAAAAAAAAAAGGTCTTTTTCTATAGCATACTTTCTTCCAGCAAAAAACTTTGATTGCACGGGGAGGTGTTGGAGCAGATAATCTACTGTTTAAAGTGGAATCAAACCCAATTGGTTGACAACCAGAAGCAGTAGTGCTATCTTCAGATTCCATTCCATCCTCCCACATTCCATTCCGGTTGTTAGCCCTTAAAAATTCTTCTGTTTTAAGAATGCTATCAAGCTCTACTAAGCAAGAGGCTATATGTTTTCTTGCTAATTCCAATCCTCTTCCTTGAGGTCGCCTCAAACATACCAGGACATGGTAAAAATGCTGAACTCAAACAAAATGAAATTAATGTTACTAGATTGTCATATATTATAAATAATACTTATAACTTGTATTTAGTACATAATCCTTTTGTGTATATATCAGAAACTCACAAGATCCATGAAAGAAGTAGAAAAAAAAAAAAAAAACACCGGGTAAGACCTTACGAAAGCGCAAACGACATAACACAGCTTTGCAATATCCTTCTTCAAGATCAAGATTTGTTTGTAATGGCTCTATGTCTGCAATACAAGTAATTTCTTGAAATTCCAATACAAAAATCAAGAAAACAAACAATATATCAACAACAACAATACCCAAGTTCAACAAGAAGCTAGTACCTAGACTATTCCTATACTGCTCTACTACCCTGATAAAAGCAGACAACATATAAACATGCATAAAAAAATAAAGTATACCTAGTTTTGAATAAACCCACCTTCTATTGATCTCTTCTTATGTGATGGAGCTTTACAAGCATGTAACTGGCGAGAAATGGTTTCTTCTATAACATTTAGCATGGATAAGCATTTTTCATCTCCATCTCTTTTCAATGGAAGACCAGATGTGATAGTAAACAGATCTTCTTCCTGAAATAAAAGTAAAAAAAGAATAATGTAACATGAAAAATATAAATAAACACGTTTTTTTTTTTTTTTGGAAATCCCTCACCTCATGTGTGCGTGAATCAGAAACAGCTGAAATAACCGCATTGCATGTTGAACGAATTACTGTGCAGTAAGAATGAAGCAATGCATGTGATGATGTTCTATCAGGTCTCAAAAGATAAATGCAAGAAAAAATAGTTTGTGCCAGTGAATGACCCTTGTGCCAAGTCGCCTGCCAAACAATTAGAAGACCAAAATACCCTCATTATATGTATTAGCTATAGATCACATGATGAAAGCAGGAGGAGTTGGAATATTAGAAAGTACCTCACATGAAAGCATATGATCCATGATATCAATCATACAATGAACATCTACAGTTTTGTTAAGGCTCAAGGGAATAGGTGCAGCGCCATCTTCAATGGCTTCATCAACCGAATAATATCTACAAACAATGCCTGAATCCATCTTTGGGTCCATTATCTAATAAAAGTAGATATAAGCATGAATCATTATCAAAGCAATCACACAAAAGAAAATCAAAGCAAGTAGGAAAACTCAGTGCATAATCTCAAATACTGAAGATAGGAACCATTAACAAAGAGATATATCATATATATGTAATGGAAGTACTACAATAGTAATGAACCATTACCTCCAAAGCAGACATGGCTGCAAAAAGATTAAAATTATCTCCATGAATGAGTTCTCCATCTTGAAGATCTGTTGATGTGCCAAGATGCTTCAATTAGTTATTTGCAATCGTTATTCTTAGTGTAGGCATTAAAAATCCAAGCCTCACATATACATAGGACCTATCTTCACTCAAAACAACCTTATGTTTATGACGAATGTGATGATACAGAAAATTTGGTTACTAACTTGGATACCTGATACAAAATTACACTTTCCAAACTTAAGTTAGCTACGTCGAAAAGCGGTATAATTCATCTCAATCGATAAAATCAATCAACTGAAACAAAGTAACCATCCAAAATACGTGACCGTTATGAACCCCCTATGACTCATCGTTAGTGATTGTACGTTGTTCAAGCCTATGTTTATAGCTGTTCCTTGTGTTGAAACGAAAATCTAGGGTTTCGAAGAGAGTGTCGATTATTACCATTACAAGCCGAATCGAGAAGGGAGGCAACGTCGGCCCAAACAGTCTGCTCGCCGGACGGTATTGATGTATTGAGAACAGGTACAGACGTCGGTTCATGGTTTTCGGATTCTTGTTCTTCAACTCCGTTATTGATATTTTCCTCCATTTCTACAATCACAAACGAAGAAGCAGCAAATCTCTGGGAATCGAGAGCTGCCTGTGTGTTCTTCGAGCTGTGTAGTTCCAAAACTTGTTTTCAAATGAGAATGTTTGCTTGCGATCGAGTCGGGTAGGGCATCTGAATCTGGGTCGGATCTGAATCGAGCTAAAGCCACCGGGTGCATACACAAATCGCAAATTATCGCAAAATGATTTATATCTATTTTTATAAATTTATTTCGAAAAATGATTTATTTATGAGAAAATTACAAAATTAGCAAAATACACTAATTATCTTACAAATTTAGCCAAAAAAAAATAGAAATTGCAAAAATAACCACTAAATTCGCAGATGGAAATACCCCATCTGCGATTTTGGCTTTCCATCTGCGATTTGTACTGTTCATCTGCGATTTTGGTTGTGAAAATCTATAAAACGATTTTTTTTTCCTCA